AATATATTATTCATTATTATTTGTCCAGTTTTTTTGAGATAAACTTATCAAAAAATGTATCTTTTACATGGTAGAACACAATTAACCTGGGGGACTGAAGAATAGGAAAAGTTACTAATCTAAATATGCCTTTTGTTTTGTTCCTAGGTTCAGACATTGTTCAATGGTTAACAAAGAACTTGTCAATAGAAGACCCAGGTAATTTACCTTTTTTTTTTTTCATGTCTGAAAATTCTAGTTTTTCTTTTTAAATTATTGGATTTGACTTTGTCTTCTGTTGCTTTGGGGTTGGCCAGGTGTCACTTGATCAATATAAATTCAATAGAAAGACAGACAGCATCAAACCTTATAAACCTTTGCTAAGAATCTGAGGATTTTGGTTACCCTTCTTATTGGAGCAGGTACTAGGAAACAAGATAATGGCCAAGAATGAAAATCATAGCTGCTTTAATTAGTACAAAATGAGTTAAAGATTTACAACATCAGGAATTTACTAAATGTTATGCTAAGCAGTTTGTTAAACGTGCTGTTTTCTTAACAGAATTTTTCAATATTTAAAAAAATATATACGTTTAATGAAATCTGCTTTTGTATTGCTACTGAAAGCTACTTTTCTGTTCTTAAGTTTGGACACTTTTATAGCATCTAAACTGGAAAGCAAGCTGTAGATAAAATCAGTGCAGTGAAGAATGACAGATTGTTGCTCAACCAGTTGGGTTGGAACGTGGAAGTAAAGTTGTGGTACCAGGCTCTGCCACAGGTTTCGCCTGCAGCCAGCAGCAAACACATTTTGCGTATCTTATACTTCTTTCCCTGGTTTACAGGAATATTGTTATGTGAGCTGAAATTTTCCAGAAAAGAGTGATTTCTAGTAGAAAATGCTGAATGGCAGAAATAAAATATTCTGTGCAAGTTCCTATTATCTTTTGGTTAGGGGAAGGATAAATCTCCCTTCTTTAAAGCATAATCAAAAATACTTTTCCTTTTCCTGTTTCAGACTTTGGGGAATTGAATTTATGCCTGGGTTTTGTTTGTTGTTTGTTTGGTTTTTAATTTAAAAAATGTGGGTTTCTGTCATATTAGAAATGAACATATTATCACTGTGGAATTCCAGCAAAAAGCAAAATCACTGTGTTTTAAACTGTGACTTAAATAATGACTTAAATTGCTTCCAGTTTTATGTAACTTTACACAGAGCATCTTATGTTTGCTTCTTGAAGATAAAGTGGAGGTTGCAGGAGACCTATGTGTGATATTGCATATCTCAGCTGTCAGCTACAAAAACCTATCTGTATTCATTAGAGTTTGAAAGGTTGCCATTCTGTTTTATGACCTGGTGGTTGTGGAATTTGGAATAGCAGAAACCTTAAGCTAAATGTTAAACATGGTTCTCTGCTTTGATATCCAATTAAATTTACATAAACACACAAACTACTAACCCATATAACCAGAACACCACAGTAATTTAAGCTGGGTTTTATCCTTTCAGATTGCATAGGTGGAAAACAATATCCACAATGTCAAAAGTTTCTTATGCATGTTGGTCCTAGTCCAAAGTCCACTCTCTGGAGCTGGCTGGATGTGAATTGTCAGAAAGCCAAATGCCCTAAATGCTGCCTTTGGGTAGTGCTCAGAGTTACCAGATAGCAGTGAACCTGACAGATGGTGATCAAGAAAGTTTTCATGTGAAAACTTTCAAAACTATTCTGGTCTGTAAAAACTTTTAAGTGTGTGACTTTTTTTTCCGGTTCTAGGCAAGGCAATCTAGCATTTCCTATGGAAAAGCTCTAAATTTCTGTGAACTGTTGTCAATGTAATTTGGGTTTCCAATGTCTTTGGTCTGCTTTTCATCAGTGTGTCAAGGTTTTACCGTGGCTGTTTTTTACAGTCCCCCAGTAGGGTTCTATTACAAAGCTCTTGTGAAGCTATGCAGTTTTGTGATGCAGAAATAAATAATGGCTTTGTCCGCACTGAAAGCGATCATCTTCGTCTAATTCTGGTATCAGCTACATACACCTAGGAGCAACATAAAGCAGACCTTAGTTCACTTATTTTAAGATTATATTCTATTCTGTCCATAAAAATTTAAGGACTATTTACACATTTCACCAGTGCTGTGAACTACTCGTGCAAGCAAGGCATGCAAATTGTGATTTAAGGGGTAAGTAGACAGATTCACAGAATCATAGAACAGCCCAGGTTAGAAGGGACCTCGAAAGATCATCTGGTCCAAACTTTCATGGGCAAGGGAGCCTGGATGAGATTATCTAGCACCCTGTCCAGTTGCATCTTTAACGCCTCCAGTGATGGGGACTCTACCACATCCCTGAGGAGGTTGTTGCAGTGATTGATTGTTCTCACTGTAAAAAAATTCTTTGTTGTATTAAGATGAAATCTCTCCCTATACAACTTGTGCCCATCCCCCCTTGTCCTCTCTGTGTGGCTCCTTAGCCTCTGTCCTCTTTGTAGTCATCCTTTAGATACTGGCAAACTGTGATGAGCTCCCCCCTGAGCCATCTGTTCTCCAGAGTGAAAACACCTAGAACTCCTTCAGTTAACTTGTTCTTTAGTACAACAAAAAAACTAGTAAGAAGCAAGAGGCATTACCAGACATTAAAAAAGGAAAATTCACATACTGTAGTGCAGGGTTTTTTAATTTGTTTTGCATAGGGAATAAACTCCAATACCATTTAAGTGGGAATGAAGAAGGCTGCGTTATGGATAGTGAGAGAACAAAAAGCAGGAGAATATATGGCAGCAACATTTGCTTTCAATCTATTAATAAGTGTAAAGCTTTTTGATGGAAGCAGCAATTTCAAGTAAAAACTAGTTACAAGTATAAATTGCCAGTCAAAAAAATGCTGCACATTTTTCATAAATGGAAAATAATTTTTGGTTTGCTGCAGTAAATCTCCATCAAGAAAATAAACTGAAGATGATGGGTAGATTCTGCTAAATTATACCAGATTTAAAGTTATTTCAGTGGAGCAGAGTAGAGGTTGTGCTCAGAATAGCTGTGTACAATGTACATTTGCTGGTATATTGTTTGCTTCTCAATATGTACTCTAAAAATATTTGTATTTCAGCCTACAACTCATTTGTAAAATTTTAAGGAACAGAAATTATCTAAGTTATTTTTAATGTGGAAGCTTAATTCAGTCTTAAAATAAGCCTGATCTCAACCCAAAAAGAAACAATTAACTGAGTGTACAGAATGGTAAAGGCTTGTGGTTTGGTACTCAGACTTGTGTTTGTTGACTTGACCATTACAGGGAAAGTGCTGACTCTTCACTGATGCTGCCAATTACTCTTAATGTGGAAAATCTACTCTGTTTTTCTACGCAACGTTTTTCTTTTTTTAAAGTAATTAGTGCCATGAAATGTACCAGACTGACCACACTAGAGACTGAAGTCCTTTTAATCCTTAGGGTTACAAATAGAACCCAAAAGGTTTGGATGAGCCAATATAAAGATGTTGGCTGAGACAGCCAAGAGACTAATTCTGTACTTGGTTCTTTCCAACCCCTTTGGGCAGCAACTTGATTTCTCTATTCCCTAGAGTTCCAACATGCTAATGGTCAATCATGCTGGTGTCTCTTTTAAGAAGGAAAAAACGCTGTCAGTTTTCAAGTATTTTAATGATGAAATGTGTGTTTATTCACAAACATGCTTTTCATACTTAAGTCAGCCAATGAAGAATTTCTATCTAGGTGGCTTAGAAAAGAGCCTTTTAAAGTTGACAATACACACAGCCATTATCCCCTTGTTCCTTTATAATGCCTTTACTCCTGAATGTTGCTTATTTAATTTACTCATATCTGCAAAGCTAATTGAATTTGTTTGAAGGCACTTCATTATTGGATGGGTAGTCTAGCAGAGCCAGATTACTGCAGCCAGCTCCAGAACATGCAGCCTTTGCATTCAGATTGCCTTGGTCCAACTTATTTTGGCAGTCCCTTGAAGGAGGTTTGTACTTCTCATGGACATCAAGAATTACACTGAAGTCAAATATATATTATTAAATCAAATTTTGTAGGTAATAAAACAAGACTGTGCCATGGAACAGACACCCTCCTGTGATTTTTTCAACTTAGTTCTTACCATTAGTTGCCATTTCATTTAACTGATGTAACTAATTTGTAACTAGATGCCCACCAGCAGCCACGTTAAATGTGGTCATTGATCCAGTGCAATAAAAAGGGAGGACCCAGTAGCACAACACCTGTTTCTTCCAAATTTTCCTCCTTTGTTTTGTAGTAAAATTGCTCTCCAGCAGCTGTTGTATTAATAATGACCTTGATAATACACAGTACTTACTCTAGAAACTTAGAGGGAAAATATTAGGATTTTCATTCGAGTTTATGAATGTGTACTTGAAAAATTGGTCTGCTCTAAGTTATTTCTGACCCTTTCCCCGTGTGTATGCAGTAAGGTAGAAGCAAAGATCAGGAGCCAGACAAGATGTTCTAAATTATTGCCATTTGGGAGACAGCACCAGGCAGCTGCAAGTGAAGGGTAGGTTCTTCCAGAGTTTGCTAATGGAGAAAAGAGTCTCTAATGAAAACGAAGAAAGAAGGGAATGGAAATATCATGCTTATGTTTGCAGTCTTTGCATTAATTTGAACTTGCGGAAGTACAGCAAGTGTAGAATGCATCCCATTTGTTAGCTTAACAAAAAAAAAAAGGCTGATAAAAGCAAATTACACTGCCTGCACACATACCATAACTCTCATGCTAGGAATCCAGGTACACTAAGCCATTCACTTTTTTCATACATCTAGCAGAATCTTGGGATATTTTGTTCAATGAGGCAAACTTCACGAATCTTCCTCAAGTCCAGTGTAAATAACTTTCTTCTACTGAGCGAATTTGATCTGAGCTTGTCAGGTCCTGGAGCACTGAAGTGGAATAATGATTTTAGTTTCAGATGAACACAAAGAAAGCAAAACTCAAGTCGGCCTTGGGAATAGAAAATGTCAAAATTCACAGATACTTCTTTAGTACTAAGTACTATTAATGTTGTGATACTCAAACAAAATCAAAACGTATGGGTCAGTTTTCCTTTAATTATGTGTAGTCTGGGCACACCTTTGTGTGGCAATTGTTGGGCTTCTGGCCGCTGCTGTGTTTTCAGGACTGAAATCATAAAAGTTCATGTGCAGATGTTATTTTATTTGCTCAAGCCTTTAGACAGATTT